TTTCTCACCTGTGCAAAGATTTAGGGCATTTCCAGTATTCTTCTATTCCACAAACAAAAATCTCCATGGGGTATATTGCCGGTAATCTATACAACAGCACACGTTATATGCCAAACTCAGTGCTCCAGAACATAGGACAGTGGTAAAAGCACATGGTAAAAGCTTCAGAAACAGGGGTTAAATAAGGGAATAAATACACTTCCAAAGAGGTTTTTTCTTTTTTTTTTTTTTTTCACCAGACTGAGCTGCCAATCTGACCACAAGTTAACTTATTTGGGAAGGTCACTTCATTCTCTATATTTCAACGCCCTCATCTGTCCTGAAGCTCCTCAGAAAAGAATACGATTGGCTGAGAAGTCTCTATGACCAACTCTACAGCTACTCCACTTTAAGTACCAAGTTCAAAATCTTCCCACTGCTATTAACCACATAGCTTCACAGTAAGCCTAAGACACCAGCAGCGCCCTGCTCCCTCCCACTGCTTCTCCTTTCTACATACTGAGACCAGGGCTCAACAAACTTTTTCTGTAAAGAACCAGCAATAAGTATTTTCAGCTTCGCAGGCTATACGGGCCCCGTCAGAACTACCCAACTTTGCCACCACAGGGCCACAGCAACCATCGATAACATGCAAACAAATGAGTGCAGCTATGTTCTAATACAACTCGATTCATGAGCTAACATCTGAATTTCATATTATTTTCATGTGTCTTGAAACATTTGATTTTTTTTGTTTAAACCACTTAAAAATGTAAAAACAACTCGTAGCTGCAGGGCTGTAAAGAACAGGTGGCAGGTTGCATTTCCATGTGACTCAGGTCTTTCCCTCTGGTACGACTTTGGTGCAGGTGAGAAGCTGGAAAGAAGAGCTGAATAGTACTTTCTGGAAAAAGGTTCTACAGGATCAGCTGACTGACTTCTCTACTCTCTTCTGTCTTGCCTCCATTTTTAACTTAGAAATAATCTGAAATTAGACCCGTTGAGCTAGCAAAGACTAGAGAATGCACTTGCTAACATCTAACGCTAACAGTGCAGACCGATAAAAAGTTATTCACCTCTTTAAATAATTAAAGTCCTCTCATTATAGAGAAATAACCAATTTTAGTTGAAACACAATTCTACATCTTCCCGCCATTCCTGACTCAAAAGTTGTTGCCTAAATGAATGCCATGCAAATAGAAGCAGTGAACTATTGGTTTTCATTTATAAGAATGGCCTGGAGCAGGGGGTGGGGGGGGCGCACTATGAAAAAGATTAACAATACTCGCTTTAAAAAGCTAGGAAAAAATATGTACTTTTGGTGGTTATGTAAATTAGTGCAATCCTTCTGGAGGTCTGTTAGCAAAATTCACCAGAGATTAAAATGTACATAACTTTGGACTTAATAATTATACTTCCAGGATTTATCTTAAGAAGATAATCAGACAAGTGAGCACACATACATATAACAGTGAGTTTCATATTCGGAAGAACTGTTAATATCATTAAAAGATTAAAACTATTTAAATGTTCAACTGGTTAAACAGTGGAAGGAATGCAATGGAATTCTAGGCGGCCATAAGAAATAATTACGTAGATGAAACGATCTGACACGGATATGTCTACAGCACATTGAAAGAGAAAAGCACGTTACAAAACTGCATGTGCTGTTTGATCTCAATTGCATGAAGTGTCTATATATGGTGTTTGTATATGCACCAGTGTACGTAAGAGACAGAAGAAAAACAGAGACACAGAAGCAGAGACTTAGAAGAATGTTGACCAAAATATTCACAGATGATTTTTACTCTCTTGTTTATAGTTTTCGGTATTGTTTACATTACTTTACAATGAGCATGTATTACATTTATAATTTAAAAAAGACTTATTAGAATGTACACCAAGAATGAACCCTAATGAAAACTATGAACTTTAAGTGATAATGATGCGTAAGTGCAGGTCCATCGAATGTCTAACAAATGCACCACTCTGCTGCGATAAGTGGAGGGAGGTGGCGGTGTGCGGAATTCTCTGTACTTTCTGCTCAATTTTGCTGTGAACCTGCTCTAAAAAAAACCATAAAACTGCTCTAAAAAATAAAGTCTATTAAAAAAAATTATCAGAACAATTCACAAGCAAACAACTCAGTTCATCTCATGGGAAGCCATCTGAGACCCATGGAAGGGAATCTGAAAGGCTTTTGTCAGAAGCGGTTAGAATACTGCAGATGGCTCAGCATGTGGGGGTGGGGGGTACTCACAGCAAGTATTACACACGGAGTCCAGCAGTCAAGCTGGCTAGCAAGCAATTCCTCTCCAGAAATTGCTCAAAGAATGCTCTCCTCTTGGTAGAACCTGACTGTTTCGTGTATTCACCCTGAGGATATTTGACTGTTTCTCTCCTGTTGTTTCTGATTTAATGGAATGTTTTCAGTGAAAGCTTAGAGGACTTAAGACTGCGTTAGATAATCAAGGGCTCAAGAAAAGCAATTTAACACTTTGTCTTAGATTAGCTTTAAAATGGAGTTCTAGCTGGGGCGAGAGACCAGGCTGCTAAAAGATAAGCCAGTCTTAAGGGGCTTTAATGGAAGAACAAATGCCAAGATGAGATTTTAATGATAAGCAGTTTGTTACGTTAATAAGAGGCATTCTGAGGCAAGTCTGAGGCTAACACCAAGGTTGGAATAAATTAATGGGGATATTCTAAATTTTATTTGGTGTTTCTTTTTCTTTAGAATATATACATTCTAACTGATGCTTCCTATACTTTGCCTAATGCATACTTCTATATACATGTCAGATATATCTACTTTTAACAGAGCAGAAGGCTTACAGGTTTCTGTATGGAATACATACCTTGTAGTCGGAACTATCTGAATGATATCCAGTTGTTTTTTTAATCGCAAGAAGGAAAAGCCAGCCTTGACAAGAACTAAATCTTTAAATCTAACAAGACCTGGCAATGTCATAAAAATTCACCAACTGTAGTGGTATACAAGTCGAGTACCTTAAGTTAACAACACAGTATTAATGCATTTATAAGTAGAAGTCAAATCCCTAATAGGTCATGACTCCAAATTACAACATTCATCAAGCTGAGTATAAACCTATACTACATATGAATTTCAATACAAATGAAGCTTAATCTACAACAGACACTATTAATAATTTACATACTATGCCCCAAAATCTCCAATTGTTATGTTGGGTAAAATAGGTACAATAAACTTAGGTGTAATATTAATATTCATGACATTTGTTCAAGCTTAGCATTATACACACAGAACTAGACAATGCATTTCCTAGTTTCCAGACATTATCCTCACTAAGATTAGCGCTAACCTGGTGGAACATATTTGTTAGTTTCCCTTGGGAAATTTCTAAAATTAAAAGTACCATTTATTTGGGGGTATAATTTTGTGGTCAAGACATTTTTAATCATTCAAGCGTTATCTTGAGTAATTAGTATCATTTTTTGGCTGGGCAGTTCTACAAATACAGCACTCTTTTACTTCAGAAGTAGTGAAAAAGCATACTATGATTATTTTCATGCTAAATCCTCATTTCCGAAAGCCGCTTGGGTTAACTGTCATCAGATTTATTGTAAGGGATTCACAACAAACTCAAAATTACTGGAAGAAACTGTAGGAATCGTCAAGTTAAGAAACACTGCTGGTCACACTGAAAACAGCAGCAACATACCTCAGATGTACAAGTGTCACAGAACTTCTTGATGGAAAGTATCCAGACATTTCCTAGGCAGATTTTATTTTTAGGCCTGTGTATGTTTACATGTGAAACAGATGTGAGTCAATTTAAGACCATCTGATAGAAATGCTTTTCTAACCACCGAAAACCTTCACTTGTTTTGAAAAGGAGTCACACCAACTGAGATCCTATCAGAACATAAGGAGCTTCCCCAGAGCATGTGATCTGAACTAAATGCTGAATTTGCATGCAGTGCTCCAGGAAACAGTAACAACCTGCTTTATCTTCATGGCCATCTTAATGAGGTATTTTTTATTAACCCCATTTTTAAATTGAGGGTTTTGGGGCCCAGAGGTTAAGTACCCAGAGAGTCACAAAGCTAAAGGTAGGATCTGAAGCCAGGCAATCCAATGAAACACTTTTAAATGCCTCACTGTCAGGCAGGAGACATGGGTTCTGGTTCTGCATCAACACCACTCTCAACCGGGAGGAGCATTGCACCTCTGCCCTTGACAGCTTCACCTCTGTAAGGAATATGCTAATGCTCTGCACAGTCTTCCGGCATCCTCGTGAGGACATGAAATAAACAAAATTAAAGCCTTCTGAGGAGTCCAAAGCACAATATAAATGTGCCATGTGCTAAATATATCCAACTCTGAACATTCCAGCAACACAGTTTATTTTCTAAAACACAGAGAAGACCCTAACAGTGTTTTATTTGTGGCCACCACGGAGTGTCTTTTACAGTATCTACTTGGAAGCCTGTAAAGTGACAGACCAAAGTCTCGGCTGTCATGCAAAATACCCTGAACAAGGTAATATAAAAAGGGGATTTGACATTTATTGTTGAGGACAGCCAAGCAGCTTCAAAAGACAAATGTAAACAGCAGCTGTGTCCAAAGAAACACATTTTCTCTTTAATAAAAATACTCTTGAGGGGCACCTGGGTGGTTCAGTCGGTTGAGCACCCAACTCTTGGTTTCGGCTCAGGTCATGATCTCGGGGTTGTGGGATCAAGCCCCAGGTCAGCTCCTGGCTCAGCAGGGAGTCTGCTTCCCTTCTCCCTCTCCCTCTGCCCTTCTTGCCCTCACACACACTTTCTCCCTAAAATAAATAAATCTTTAAAAAATATATATTCTTCACGTCTCGACCTTTTGGCTAAGATCAAGCGTAGTAAAAAAATATATATTCTTGATGTTAAAGAACACATGAAGATGACTTTTAATTTCAAAATGTCAAATCCTGAGAGAATAGAATGATTTCTTAAAAAATGTACAGAACGTTGATAAACAAAGAGCCAGAATTCTTTCTTACCTCCCACATGTACACATTATTCTTAACCTGAGATCTTTTTTTCTTATCACCAACAAATGGCCCAAACTTTTTGCCTTTTAAAATTGGTTTAGTGGCCCAGACACCTGGAAAATAAAACCAATATTTTTATAATGTTATTGTGGTTATTTTAAAGATTGAAGCATTAAAGTGAACTCTGTTTCACAAAAAAGTTAAAAAGCTAGCAAGATAATGTTAGATCAATGGAGAGCAAGTGAAGTCAAATGAAATCAAGTCTTCCACGAAGATTTTTATTTTTCTTTATATTCTTCTGTAGCCCCCAAATAGTCTGTAAAGAACCTTTGTTTTGTAAGTAGGAAAGAAATGTTTTGTATTTGTTTCTATTTTTTACATGTAGAATTACCCAGATGGTACAATCACAAATACCCGGAGAAGAGCACAATCACACCTAAAGAGAAAAAAGATGAGAAAGGAGTGAAACTAGAAATGATTTTAAACTCCTCTTTCTACTTTTCTGCAGATTTCAAATGGTCTCCAGTGAAAATGAATTGCTTTAATGAAGGCTTGGAAATGCCGATTTATGAATGGTATTTTTAAAGTTTGTTTGCTCAAAGTGGAACCCCCTCTCCTCCCCAGCTAAGTCTCCTGAAACCTTAGCTGCTGTAACAACTCACTTGGCAGAACTTCAAACAGCCCAGAGTCACACGTGCCGCTGCTCTGCTGTATTCCTCGGCCGTTTCTGGGCTCTGGGCACTGACCAGAGGGCAGGCACAGAGCCTGAAGAAGCAGTGGGCAAAATGGCGGGAGAGAGCCCTGGAGTCAAGGAACCAGCACCCAGAGGTGACGCTCACTGACAAAAAGCCCTCTGGACAAGTTCCCTCATCTTCTGCTCTCAGAAGATGCACAGAAGGAAAGTGGAGGCTGAGCCAGTCCTGTCCAGCTAGGAGGTTCAAATTTCACTCTTCTGTAGGTCTATGAATCCAATTTGATAACAGAGCTAACAATCAAATAGTGGAGCTCTACAATCAACCACTTTCATGTGAATGATGCAATATAAGTGCTCAAGTGACTGAAAAATTTTCCGATGAGAATTAGGAAAAGCATTTATTAACAATTTATTCACACACACATACACATAAGCTGGAATATCAGAAATACATCTTAAAAAAACAAAAAGGGATACAAACATGATATATTCCAAAACTGTACTTTGACTAAATTTTTATAATTTACTTCCTTATTAGCCTTCTGTCTAAAGATTAGGGCACAAAAACAAGACCAAATACGTAAAAGCTGGGTTTGCATTCGATGAGAAAATCCAGCCAGAAGCATTCAGATACACTCACGTCATCATTCCTTCAAGTACCTACTGAGGTCCAGAACATGTCAGGTACTGGAGAGAGAGGGAAGTTAAGAAATGAAGGTGCACACAGTCAATAAAAGGGACAGATGTGGAAACAAATACAAAATAATGGAATTAAAAACAGCAGCATACTCACACTCAAGTCCCAGTGAAATCAGAGAGGAGGGAACAATGCACTCAGTAGGAAGAAGAGGCCCGAGGAGACAGTGGGAGGGAACACTCGGCCTAAGTCACAGAGGATGGTAGGCGGGCGTGTGGGCATGTGGGCGTGTGGGCAGTGGGCATTTGTGCTTTAGTTTCATAATCTATGTCCACCCTGGATTCTTGACTGGAAAATGCAGAAATTCCACATAATCTTCTAAGTCTAAGTGTAAATCTGTCACTTTGATGATGAGCTCCCTACCTTAAACGCTCCCAAAGGATGCCTGGATAAAGGCGGCTCTCCCATCCCCTCCCCGTCTCCTTCTGGGACCCTGGTCCTCACCAATCCGAGTCTTGTCAACAGCAGATGGGAAAAGCCTCACTTCCTCTGGAAGTCCTCGAAGCACATGTTCGGGTACCTCAGCCAGGCTCTCAGCAGCTGCAACAGGCTCAGTGTTCTGCAAATCAAGAAACAGAAGGATCAGAGCAGAGGGAAGCAAACCCAGTTAGCGTTTTTTTCTTTTCTGGTCCAATAAGCAAATATGCAAAACTGTAACTGAAACCTGAAGCTGGCAAGCCAGACCAAGACGACCAGGCTGTGGAGCATCTCAGGAGCTGCTGTGATGGCTGTTTGTAAGTCTCCAAAGGAAACTACTGCCACCTTCAAGCATGTCTGTGTTAATCTATTTTGTTCCAGCCACCTGCAGTCATTCTCAAAATATGTAAATATCTGGCACCATACTATTTTAAACTCCCACAGAATCTGGAAGTACAATACAGCTTAAGCTTACTTTTAAGTCAAAGGCTACCATCAGCATTTTGGAACATTTAAAAAATAAAAACCAACACTCCCTACTTAAAAGAATACTTTCGGCACACACTGTAAAGGACCTCTCACCCCCAAGTATGCTTTCATCCCTCCGGCAACAACACCCCCTTTAACAGGGGCTTGAATATTCCAACCAGAACACTACAACTTTCTCTGGGCCCTCAATGGAAATGTGACCTTTCCAGGAAACCGTAATTTACCACTTGTATCAAGTCACTAATTAGCAAAGTCGGCAGAATATCACAGTCTTAAGAAATAGAATTTTATACATTACTAACCAGTTTTCACTTTAATCTTAAGAAATAAGATTACTATTAGGTATGAATATAAGGGAACCGAAAGGGGAAATCTGAGCCAACTGGTAAAACATGACTATTATTTTAAAATTAACATTCAGGGCGCCTGGGTGGCTCAGTTAGTTAAGCGACTGCCTTCGGCTCAGGTCATGATCCTGGGGTCCCGGGATCGAGTCCCGCATCGGGTTCCCTGCTCGGCGGGGAGTCTGCTTCTCCCTCTGACCCTCCCCCCTCTCATGTGCTCTCTCTCTCTCATTCTCGTTCTCTCAAATAAATAAATAAATAAAATCTTTAAAAAATAAAAAAATAAAAATAAATAAAATTAACATTCAATCAAAGGAAAATCAAGTGTCTTTTAACTCTTATCCCATATACCCCAAAGAACTGATGTGCATATCACAACACCACTAAGAACAATGGGTTCTATAGTCTAGGTGTTTTTTATTTCACTGCAAGGGAATCACTTCTCAAGGACTTTCAAAGAAAGCAAAGTAGGCAAAAAGCAAACTCTAACCTAAAGAGGTTAATTTTCCTACAATGAAGCTCTTACAGATCTAAGAATATTTTGTGTAAAGATGAGAATATCATCCTAATTTGTGTACTCCCAACATTTCGCTTTTTTTTCTTTTTTTAGTATCAATAGGCTGCTTCAAGAGAAATAAATCCCATGGCAATGAGCAACTCATTATGAAAGTCTGCTCTCTGGTCTGCTCTGAGCTGGAATGCACACAAGTGGGCATCTACAGACTGAGATTCATTTCTCCAACAGGGCAAAGCCGACTGGGGACCCTTCAGAAGCACGAATGCTTTGATCCTGCTGGATCTACAGCTTGGTCCTGACAATGTCACCAAGCACAAGTTAAATGCCTCCGAAAACATGGGAATATCAAAACTGCCCCCAGAAAATGGGTCTTATGGTATTTTTAATTAGCTAAAATGTGAATAAATTTAGCACACAAATGTCTCACTTTTAAATATAGTACCTCCATTTTTAAAACTTTAATCTATAAATGGTTATTTTGGCAACATGAATAGTTTTTTTTTTCCAATGGAGGAAAAGGTATTAAATTGGTAGTCGGTATCCTAGGCTACATAATAATTAAACACTGATAAATTAAGCAACATTAAGAAGTACTTAGCCAAAACTCCAAATCCTATCAGCACGTGCCCATTAAAAAGCAGAGTGAGGGAGTTTTCTTCTCCTTCCTCAGATGGGACCTTATTCTAAGATTTAAAAGGATTTGACACCATTTAACTTCCCCAAGAGCTCTGAAAAGACAGTGTGTCAGCTACTCTAACCGATCCTTCCAGGCACTAGGACTAACAAGCTAATATCTCCTTGGGACCTCAGTGCAAGGCACTGTACTAACAGTCTTCCACGCATGATGGCATTTACTCCAAACAGCGCAAGGGGCAGGGACTGTCACTGCAGCCCCCACCCCCAGCTTCCCCCCCAACCCTCACCGTCCCCCAACACACACACACAATGAAAGAAACTGAAGCTTAGAGAAGTTGTCTAAATTGCTCAAGGTCAGGATTTGAACCTCTGTCTGTCTGACCCTGAGCCCAAGTTCATAACCACTGTGCCACTGCCAGTTAAGATTCTCCTGGATATGGTCTGAGAACCTAATGTAAAACATGGTTAACTATAGTTGATAGCACTGTATTACAGCATTGAAATTTTCTAAGAGAGTAGAACTTAGATGTTCTCACCAAAAAAGATAAATATGAGAGATGATGGATGTGTTAATTAACTGGATGGTTGCATATATCGAAATACCACGACATACACTTTAAATATCTTATAATTTGTCAATTATACCTCAATAAAGCTAGAAAAAAAATATTCTGCAGAATATAGTCTGAGAACCTGTGCCCTAAAACCTCCAAACTTCCATAGAAGTGTCAGAAGGAGATGGCTGACATTCCCACAGGCAATTTGTAACTTGAGTGTAATATGGAGACCACGTACGTTTACATTTCTGATACACCTATGAATATAAGAGACCTCAGCAGAGCTGCCACTGGAAAAAGATCAGACAAATTCCTGTGCACTTATTTACCTGCTTTCAGTGAGCCCATGTTTTTAAATTTGGGCTCATTTAACTAGTGGAAGAAAGCTTTTTTTCTGTTTATGTTAGTATCCTTCGCAAAAGACAACTAAAATTCAAGGACCTCAAACCACACCAAGTCAACCCTGGCCAGCTGCAGGAATTTCCTCTCCCCTTTCCAGCAGCAGTGCCTATGGCTGGAAACTGCCTCTCCTTTTCCTTATTTTTCCTTCACAGCTCTTACCACAATTTTAAGTAATTATTTGTATAATTATGTGTTTAATGTACCTCCCCTGATAAACTACAATGAAGACAGATGGCGTCTATCTTATTCAATGTTGCATTCCCAATGTTTAGCAGTAGACATGACATGTTTGGTGTCACTTAAATACTTGAATGAATACACAATTCTTGTAAATGGACTTAATCTTTTTTTAGAAAAAGGAAGGCTAGAAATAAACAAAATAGCAGGGTCATCAATCAGAAAGCATTTTTTCCATGTGTGCCTGAATTTCTTGAATTTGAGGTAGGTATATTTCTAGGTCAATAAAAGAATTCTTTTTTAGACAATGTGATATATGCTCTCAATTCCAAGCAGCCAATTTACAAGTAAATCTTTGGAAGAAAAGAATTTTTAAGAGAAGATTTCTCTCCCCCACACACTTACAAACTGGGATCTCATTTACACACACACACACACACATATATATGAATATCCTTATAATATTAGATATAATATCACACTCTAAACAAGGTCATCTTGGTTCTTACACTAAAGATCACAATTTGATCCTGGGAATATTCCCCAGATTAATTTTTTTCTAAAAGAAATTGTAGCATCTACTCAATTTCTGAGCGCCTTCAACGGGCCAGGCAATGTTTTAAGCATCTCATTTGCCTTAACAATGTGTCACTCTACGATGGACTCTGAAAAACAAACTGAGGGTTCTAGAGGGGAGGGGGGTGGGGGGATGGGTTAGCCTGGTGATGGGTATTAAAGAGGGCACGTTCTGCGTGGAGCACTGGGTGTTATGCACAAACAATGAATCATGGAACACTACATCAAAAACTAATGATGTAATGTGTGGTGATTAACATAACAATAAAAAATTTAAAGAAAAAAAACAATGTGTCACTCTGGTGAGGAAGACAGACAAAATCAAGCAAGGATATATAATGCCTGGTACTTATTGATGCTCTGAAGAAAACTCAAGCACAAGAAGGGGACACAGTGATGGAGATGGAAAGGGTGCTATTTTAGACAGACAGAGTGCTTCCAGAAGACCTCTCTAGAAATGGGAAGGGCATTGTGTGAGAGTATGGCGGGCAAACACGCCCAGAAAGGTAATCAGCAAGGGCACTGGTAATCCAGCAAGCTTGGTGTGCTCAGAGAACAGACAGGCAAAAAAGACCAATGTGTCTGGGGCAGAGAAGGTGAGGGAAAAGCAGATGGAGCTGAGGTAGGAGAGGAAGGCAGGGGAAGTGCCTGAGAAATCAATCACCTGCTGAACTGCACAGACTATGAGGAGTAGAAGGTGACCAACCAGAGGCCAAACTGCAAGCTCCACGAAGGAACCTTGGCTGCTCCTTTCTCTGGGGTGGCCAACAGCCCACCAGCACCCCAACCTTGCTGTCTCGAAATAAAGGCACGTTCCCATTTCAAGGGTTTCTGACACTGATCACTGTGGTAAGCACAGAGGACATTGCAAGGACTTCTCAGCTTTCCTTTTACGTAACAGGAAACATAAGAACTCGTTATTTCACTGCTCAGTGAAGTATAGCCTCCAAACATGTATCAGTGAACTGATCTGGAGCAGTGTAGGTTAAATCTAATGTATTAAATTTAAGCTAATTTAGTAAGTTATTCAGTTATTATCAATTGATCTTCATTAAATCAATGTCTCCAACTTCCTAACTCAAACTCAGAGAAAGTCAATACCCCCTTCCCTCGCCTCCCCTCCCCAGTTCATGGCCAGGAGCAGTTGTCTTTCATTCATCCAGTCCATCCCTCGATCACTAACGAACATTTCCTGAGAGTCAGCTCCAGGCTGGCACTGCGCTGGGCAGTGAAGATATGATGGTTAATAAAGCTGGTCCAGGCCCCCTCCTCACAGAGCTCTTTAGACAAACTCTCTTTTCCTTTCCCTAATACCTAATACCTTCCCTTTGGCCCCGGATGACCTCCCCAGGCTGGATGGTGGGAGCACCTTCAGGAGCAGGACATTTACTCCTTCCTCTGAGCCAAGCTCTGGGCTAACCATCTTTCCTGTATTACCTCACAA